TGTGTGTGTGTGTGTGTGTGTGTGTGTGTATGTATGTGTGGGTGTGCGTGTGTGAGTGTGTGTGTATATATATGTATGTATATATTCAATTGTATTTTTTCTTCTAAGCCATGGGCCGTGGCCTGCCTGTCTGAGGCTCGACTTCACAGTGCGTAAACAATGCAAATTACGTGAGCCATACCGCCTCCCCCAAAAAATGATAACGAGCAAGCATCATACCATGAGACAGGGTGACCTAGTATAATCACAGGTAAATAATATGAATTTTTTTTTTTAATAAATGCCTTCTTTTATTTTAATATCAGCTACTTAGGCTGTCTTCACAAAAGGGTCTGAGAAGATGAAGACGAGTTATGCGATAACGTACTGTAGCAGTAACTACAAAAAAAAAGTAAATTAATACCATGAAATTACATAAATTCTGGAATCTTAGATTCCAGAATTAGGCCTTGTCTAACATACATTATTCATTTTATCTTAGAGGTCTACATCAATATCATTAATTACATCAATTTACAACTTTTTTTCTGGCACCTGTTAACTATAAACAGTGCTGGAATTGGAATAAACTTATTTGTGATTGTTTATGGTTGTTTTTTAACATCCTGAGTCATGTTTTTACCTAGTAGGCCTAGGCTAGAGCTGATCTTCAAAAAAAGTATTTACATTTTCAAAAAACGGGAATAATTGTTTTCATGCGGTAGAAAAACGTAGGCTTACGGGAGCGCAGTAGATGTCATTAAAAGCGGTAGAATACCGCTATTAGCGGTAGACCTGGGACCTTTGAATACACGATGTTTTTGATTGGAATCTTACTAACGGTTAATGCCTATCAGATAGATATAGCGTAGGGTAAGAGTTATATCAGGTAAGATAAAAATGTATTTATTCATTCCAGTTAATTGCGAGCAATGCCGTACATTCAACTGTGGTAAACAAAAATAACGATAATAAGTTAATGAGGAACTTTTATTCAGAATCCCCAGAACGCATGTTCTAACTATAGACACAATTCAATTCCATGAATTAAGATTTTATCTAAATCAGAAACCTACATAAATGGTATATAAGACACGCTAGAACCGCCAACTACCACTAGGTTAGTCCTCGAAATATAGGAAAGTGTACAGAGGAAACAGGCACGGTGTTTAATCAGTTTTACAGCCAAGGTGTTTCATCACTTTTGTTTCTACTTCGACACGCTACTATTACTATTCACCAAGCTTCTTGCCAACAACTACATATTGTTATTGGACATGGCAACCAACGCCTCTAGAACATCTAAACCATTCCGCCCCATTGCTGATAAGAGTGTAGAAGACTTAATTAATGAATTAGATAAAGCTGAAGGGGAAGAACCTAGCTTTATATTCGGTGAGTTAAAAGATAAGTAAATTTCATATTACCATAATTTTATAGGTGGCTGGACGCTTATTTACGTCGGTGCAGTATGTTTTACGGAATGTTTTAGTTTATTTCATTTCAAGTGCTTTTATATTTATGTTATTTTTATTTATATTACGCTATTTTTAAACATCAAACTTTTAAAATCAGTCATAAATCGTGTATAGAGATACATCATAATGTTGTAACATATCACATAGGCATTTAGAAACATCCGAAAAAATACAAGAGAAAATCAAAATTAAAAATAAATTCAAAGTAAACAAATTCGTCAGGACATAAAGAGACAAAATAGCAACCCAGGCCAGCCATCCGTGCCTCTGGATGCAGGCAAGACTTGACACCGCTTCTTTCTACCAGGGTTACATTTGTAGGTTGTGTACTTTCAGTAAAATTTAGAAGCTTGTTTATTTAACTAATCGCCCAACAGGGGCAAATCCAGAAAGGGACTTGAATATTCTGCCGTGATTTGCAACAAGAGCAACTGCTCCCTGGTCCGCGCGCGTTCCTCCATGCTTAAATATGGTGCAGGCGTAAGTTATTTTTGGGCGTCACTGAAATGGTGGTACAATCTTCTGAGCTAGAACCCACATTAGAACGGGTACTCATTTCATGGTCTTTATTTATTTTTCGTTTCTTCCACGTAAAATCTGGATTTTCCTTTTCAATGAAAAATAAATGCGATCGTTAATATTGACCTTGGTACAATTTAAACCTGTAATCATATGACTAATTATACAGAATTTTACTATATTATAGGCCTAGACTAGGACTAGGCCTCCTACTATAGTATAGGCCTAGTCCAAGGCCTTGTTGAAAATACCAGCCCAAGCCTGGCCTATAATGCATAGGGCTCGTGATCGCGGTAACCTGACCATAAAAAATTACCAGACGCACTGAAAAGCGTTGTTCACGGCATTGGATGCAGCGAAAAATGATCCCCCTCCCATCATTAATGGAACAGGCCCAAGTCACGCTTGGTTGACTAGTTTTGATTTACATTTCGCATGTCTTGTGTTGTTGTAAAATGCATTTCAAACCAGACTGGTTTATGTTCTACTTTTTGGAATAGAATTTGGAGAGGGCGTTTGATCAAATAAGACCTACGTTTTGAATTTGAATTACATTTTAAAGAAATTAGAACTACATTTTGGAAAATTTGAACTACGTTTTGAAAAATTAGAACTTCATTTTGGAAAACTAGATATACATTTTGAGAAATTTACGCCTACGTTTTGATAAATTAGACATTGAATTTTGCATTTACATTTGATTTTAACATGGACTTTTGCTGTGTATGGCACCCCATACATAATGCTTAGCTTGACTTTGATCACATTCCATTTATAATCTCGAAGAACTGAATTTTATCTTAATTAATAAAATACCTATCATATTATGATCGATGTAAAAAAACACATTTCTGCATTTACTTTATTTGTTTAATTGTATCATTTAAAAGGTTTTAATCACTGGACTTAACTAGATTTAAATTAATTTTAGTTAACGGTTGAATAAAATATATAAAGAAGGTTAAGTCAATGCGTGCACATAAATAGTAAGAACATTTATCAGAATATGTTTATTTAAATTAGTAAAATTCCAAATTAAATTCAGTAATGTGCGCTTGTTTCACTTCCATTAAGAAAAATAAAAATGGCATAATAATATGCTATAGAAGCTAAGGAGTGTGTTGTATTTAGAATCTTTGTTTATTGATTAACAAACGGTATGCATTACTCATCATTCTGGGCGTGAGCATTTTCTTAATGGTATAAACTTTTAACATAAAACCTTTTAATACCTCGAACAAAAAGCAGCACACTTAAACCAAGATATTTGAAATTGTTTGGTTTTGTGCTATATCTATTTTTAAGAATTAATTTAAAATAATAAATTTTAAATAAATGGATTTAAAACAGTAATAAAACATTGAAGCATAATTATTACAGAAATAAATCTAATTTGCCTCTGCCTTTCGTGGCATTGTATATTTATTTATAAATTATATATATTATTATTATTATTGATAATTAAATTAATAATCATTTTATAATAATGGATACTACAATATTAATTTTAACTTTACTTGGTGTAAATTTGAATATCAACTGTGTACATATCAAATCCAACTCCATCATTATATATAATGCTGGGGATGAATTTTGTGTAAGCGGTAAATAAAAAGGGACTAGGCCTAAGGCCAAAAAACTTCTTTGTTTGCCGTCATCCGCCGCCAAAAAAACACACAAAAATGGCGGCAGTTTTTTTTTTTGTTTTTTTTTAAAGTTTCTTATAACTTAAAAAGATCACTTGAAAACCACTTTTTCGTCAATTTTTGCACAAATTGTTTACTATTTGTATTTATTGTTTGTAACCAATAATAATAGTTTTCCGTAAAAGCAATTTAAAAATGTCAGTTCCAGCGAATAGGCGGCAGTAGCTCGGTCAAAAAAAAACTTTTTGCGCACCCCCACCCCCCTACTCAAAATTGTATTATGTGAAGTAAACAAACAAGCTTTTTTAGGCCTAATAACTGACCATTATGAAACACAATGATATAATGGAAATTTCAGTGACTTTGATCCGACGATTGATACCTTCATCACCGAGATTAACACTGATCTAGTTGCATTAAAAAACTGTTCGAAATTATCAAACAGTAATACAAATTCTTAAAATTACTTTTCCCAAAAGAATTAGTGTGTCGTAACGGATTCATATATTGCTTCGAATTTTTTTACGCATATTAATGCGGTCATTTGATATACATTTATTAAGTTTACAACAATAGAAATGCAAAAATAATTAATACGATACTAGCCAAGGAAACTTGGCAAAAATCGCCAACGAACATCAAATTTCCAGACAAAATTCACCAACACAAAGAAAACTCAACAGGACAAACCAAAGCATCAAAATATAATGTTCAGTTTAAAAAAAATCAAAATCGGCAAAGGGACAGGAGACTGGCATGGTACTGCCGTCAACATTAACGGAACTTCGTTAACTTCTTAAATTGAGACTAAAGCTAAAAATGTTCATTTCGATTTTGTTATCTTATCCCTTATTTTAGGAATCGACTATACAAGTAGTAACTTAAAGAAAGGAGAGCACACTTTTGGAGGAAAGAGTCTTCACACCTTACAAAAAGGGACCTTGAACCCCTATCAACAGGTAAGTAAATTTAAATATTATTCAAGAAACTTTAATGTAGGCTAAAGACCATATAAGCCCTCTGCAGATTAGACATTTTTTCGTTAAAAGTAATCATGCCTCTGCTAGTCAAGTTGACCAGAGTGCGACGTTGTGGTCACATATATGGCGATCAGCTACCACATGAAGGCCCAAAAGAAGCGGTAACGGGACAACGTAAACTGTTAGTTCGCTAGATGAAACTCTCCCGTTCACGGTAAGCTAAAAATTAAAAGCTACAAAATTTATGTATTATAATGTATTTTCCCCAAAAGTCCCAGAACTCTGGTTGTGTCCCATAGATGCTAATATAATTTCACTTTATAAAACAAAATTTGAAATACCGGTTCTGGAACATATTTGCTATCACCTTTAAATGACTCATTTAAAAAAAATAACTTATGTGCAACATGAGGGTTCGCTTTTGTGATACCCAGTTAACTGCTTTGGTAATGACCACTAAGGCACTTGACGACAGAGGCCAGGCGGATGTACCTCGTCAGGAACTTTTGGTAAGAAATCTACTCAATGACGTTGGGAATAGAAACAAATATCGTATATATACAGTTTACCTTTACGGCTGCATCCTTTCCCATATAATTACCATACCAGCTGATCCTGATATAATTCATAGGGGTCTCGATACTTTAGTAAATTGGAAAAAAAAAGATGGAAATGTATCATTTTGTACTTGAAAATGCTTCCCAATTTGCTGAAACCTATGGTGGAGACAACGCACTAGAGATAGTCAAATATCATTCGTATTTAGGCGTTGAGTTTAGTTGTGATTAAATCTGGTCTACACACATCCAGCAAATTCCCTCAATGCTAATAGAATGTTGGATCTATTTTATAGAAATATTAGAATTCAGTGTAAAACTCCAAATCCATTCCTCATTAATGACTGGTTAGACCGAAACATAACGGAGTACTGTTCAGCCATTTGGGACCCTTAATACCATGAATCAAGTTGGAAAAGAACCAAAATCGTGCTTTTCGTTCCGTAGTCTGTGATTACAAGCGCGAGTCAAGTATTCCGATTTGTTTAATCGTGCGAGAAACCAAAATATAGAAGGACAAACTATGTCTAGCCACATTATGAAGCACATGGAATCATAACATGCAACGAAAGGACTTATATTAATCATTTCAAACTGGTAATTAGGTGCTCAAATATTTAGTCACCTCAACAAACAGAGACTGATAATCACTCATTATACATTATATAAAACAATTCCGGAATGAAACCGTTTGAGTGAGGATTCACATAATATCCGATGTATTTCAGTCATATAAGATCGCCTTGGACTCAATTAACATTAATAAATTAACGACAAAGTTTAGTATATTATTTAGTTGCTACACACAGGATATTTTCATATTTTCATTATTATGTAACTTTTTAACAATTTCTTTCACAGGTACTTCGGTCAATATGTTCCGCCTTCGCAGATGACGATGATGAGTATGTAGATGTGATTGATGTATTTGGATTTGGAGACAAGTCCACACAAGGCAAGAATGTCTTTCCATTCAAAGCGGATGGATGCGAAGGTATCGAGGATGTACTCTCGTGCTACAACAAGCATACGAAGAAAATAACCCTGAGTGCGCCGACAAATTTTGCTCCGATTATTAATAAAGCGATCCAGATTGTTAAAGAAAGAAAATCGGTGAGTCAACACATTCCATATTATGTAGGCTAACGTCTATACTACAGTACTTAGTGGGGTATCCATTGGTATACAGGAATATTGCAGTAGGTGTGGCGAAATCTGTCCAGAATACGGGCTTTTTCTGTCCAGAATACGGGCTGTATGGGGGCGCTGTTGTCCAGAATACGAGCTTTCTCTGTCTAGAATACGGGCTGTGAAATTTGTCCAGAATACGGGCTATATGGGGGCGCTGTTGTCCAGAATACGGGCTTTCTCTGTTCAGAATACGGGCTGCTTTTTTTTCCCGTACGAAACATTTACATGAAACTCCACTCGGGCCGTCTCTGCTGAATCGACCCGAAAATCTCATTGCAGAATTTAGGAGGTCAAAAGGTCATCAACATATAAACGTTTACAGAACAACGTCTGAGAGAACGGTCGCTGTCTAATTTTTAAAAATACATTGATGTTACCATGTTAATACCAATGGGTCGTTTAAAATGGCATATAATATTTGATTAAGCTGCACGAGTAATGAAAAGTGTTATTTCAACTTGAGTTACATACTATCACAATTTTAATTTTTTAGTTAGGCCTGGGTTTTGCATAATTACCTAGGCCTACTAAAAACGCTTTCTGGGAAAAGCACAAAGAGTAAGGAAAAGCGCGTTTTTCTTCATCACTGATCAAATGAAACAGAATGACAGTTATTTTCAAATTAAGAGAAGAGCTGAGAGTAGGTAGCTATAAAATACTGAATGCCATAAGACCTGCCACAATGGCAGAGCACCAAATGAATGTAAAAATTAACTAGTTATTAATATTAGGCATAGTAACCGGCAGGTTCTTGATTACAAGGCTAGACCAAGTTAATTACATGTAATGCCGAAATGATAATAATAATAATAATAATTATTATTATTATTACCTTTACGTTAAGGGGAACTTAGACAAAGGGGAAATAACACAAAAGATATTCCCTCTGGGCTAGTTATTATTTATAGGCCTAGTAAATAGTATCTGTAGGTTCTTCATTACAATTAAGTCTTAGGCCAAGGTAATTAATGCTGAAATGATTATTATTATTATTATTATTATTATTATTATTATTATTATTATTAATTTTTATTATTACCTGTACCTTAAGGGGAACTTAGACAATGGAGGAATTAGAGAACAATTTAAAAAACGACGTTAAGGGGAACACAAAATATATTCCCCTTGGGCGATTACCGGTATTATTTATAGGCCTAGTAAATAGTACAGTATCTGTAGGTTCTTCATTACAAGGCTTAGGCCAAAGGTAATTAAATTATTATTATTATTATTATTATTATTATTATTATTATTATTATTATTATTATTATTATTATTATTATTATTATTATTTAACATTAATTACATTACAATGATAGTTTGGACAAGTTCAATAACGCCGGAATGGTATATTATTTATTTACTATTTCTCTTATGCGCTCATTTTTTTTTATTTCATGCTTGTATGTGAAGCGTGACTGTTGTGTCAGCCTATGACCCTAGGCCTAGTTTAAGGAGGGGCCTAGGTAAGACCTCAGCCTGTAGTTAGGCCTATAGTTTATCCTCTTTCTCTCTAGCCTTTGGTATAACTGTACCTATCTACACTTAACAGGAGGTACTAGCTGTTGTTGTTGTAGATAATATACTAACATAATAACATCCAAGAAGGTCAGAGTACAGTGACGTACATCACATAAGTCCGTGAAATTTCATAGGCCTACCGTAGGTAAACATAGAAAGAGCAATAATAGTAAAACTCGAGCGTCACGACATTGCGAAGTGTCTGCTCTTGTTCCTCGTATGGCCCGAATGAAGTTTCATGCAAATGTTTCGTACGGGAAAAAAAATCGCATACGGGCTGTGAAATCTGTCCAGAATACGGGCTCTGAAATCTGTCCAGAATACGGGCTGTATGGGGGCGCTGTTGTCCAGAATACGGGCTTTCTTACGTCATATTCTATTTTTAGAGGCTTTTTCTGTCCAGAATACGGGCTGTATGATGGCGCTGTTGTCCTGGACCTGGACCCCTTGTCGACATGTTATTTAAAAAATCATAACTCCATAACGGGGCGTCGTATCCAAAAATTTTTTCCTGCAAAATGTTCTTAAAAGACTAGTCTACAGCACTATATGATTGAAAAAAAGATTGAAAAATGTTTTTGACCTCTGAAATCAAGATGGATTTCAGAGGTCAAAATATACCTATTTTAATACACTATTTAGATAGGCTTTTCTTTTTCCATCTTGATTTCAGAGGTCAAAAACATTTTTCAATTTTCTGTCAGAAAATCAGCCCAAAGCTTATCTTATTTCTGTTGGTTACGCACCGCTGATTCGCAATGTTTGTCATCACCCTAGGCGGCAGAGGCTATGCCTAGGCCCTAGGCCAGCCAAACATGAGTTTCCTATATGCCGCACTGCAATGTCGGCCTACAACTGTAGCTTAGAAAATCCATGAAAATCGTAAAATATACCATACTCTTGCTTGCTATTTTTTAAAATAATTTTTAGGGTCATTCTTGGCTAATGTGCCATTTTAGAGGTTTAGAAATCATGAAAAAAAAGTTTCACATTTGTAATTCTTTTATTACACATGTTACCATTATGTCATATAACAACTATAATAAACATTTGGCACGATAATTATGGCATTTTAAACGTTTATTTAAGCATTCAATTTTCAGTGCTGTAACATAGCAAATATTTCAAGAATCATCTCCATCACACTTTTTTGTGACCGAGATGATGATATACACATAGATGTGAATCTTAGTAAATTTGAAAGATAAATTGTATTATTTAAATATAGGATAATACACAATGAACAAACAGGTTTCGAACAACGTAAGTCGTATCAATTACCTTTTTTTTATAGCCGTTTTTGAGAAAAGAAAACATCAAGAAATCATCTCCATCACACTTTTTGTGATGGAGATGATGATATACTCATAAATGTGAATCCTAGTAAATTTAAAATATAGATTGTATTATTTAAATATAGGATAATAAACATTGAGCAAAAAGGTTTCTAACAACATAAACCAGATCAATTATCATTTTTATTTTATATTCGTTTTTGAGGAAAAAAAAACATCAAGAAGTCATCTCCATCACAGTAAAGTTGTGATGGAGATGACTGTGACGGAGATGAGGAATTAAAATTTTTAGATCATATAGTGCCATATGCAGTGTGTTACAGGGTGAATGTCATGTGCACTTTGAAAATGACACAGTTCTGATCGTATATATAATTTTTTTTTTCTAAAAAAATAATAAGTAAAGCATACTCTGAAGCGTTCGGAGATGATGCTGAATTCTTCAGCTATAGGTGGTTTAACTGTAAAAGAACCGACTGTTTCTTACTGTATGGTCCCCTTCAACCAAAATGGTTTTATCCTTAACGTGTTATGTCATTTTGCTAACAGTGTAATGGCATTTTAAAGTATTGTGACGGAGATGACGACAATTCAGGGACAAACTTTTTTAGTCTAAAAAAGTCAAATTTTAAGTATTTATAGTTCTATTGATGTCATTTTTAATTTTACATTTGTAAGTAATCTATTGTATTCACCTTTTTGTGGTATAGTTATTTATTTAAGTTATTTATTTTACAAATTATGACATTAAGAATTCTTAAGAAACCCAATCGGGACATGCACAGTGCGCGACTTTGGAGGCTTTTTGTTGAAAAATAAACAGCATGTCGATTACGTTTAAAATATTTAACAACTTATTTCATTAACAAATATGTTAAAGATTGCATAAACGCAATAAAAATAAAATTTACTTTAATATTTTAAAATAAATTTATACTACGTTAAAACAGAGGGACTGGAAAATGGCACATTAGCGGAGAATGACCCTTTACTGTTTACATTCCACTGATGTTCCAAAATCTAAAAATAGAATATGACGTTAGAAAGCCCGTATTCTGGACAACAGCGCCATCATACAGCCCGTATTCTGGACAGATTTCAGTGCCCGTATTCTGCACAGATTTTACAGCCCGTATTCTGGACGGTCAGAGAAAGCCCGTATTCTGGACAACAGCGCCCCCATATAGCCCGTATTCTGGACAGATTTCCAGAGCCCGTATTCTGGACAAAATTTCACAGCCCGTATTCTTGACAGAATTCACCAACCCGTCTCGAATATTGAGGAGAGTTGTGGCTGGATAATAAGGCGACAGTGCATCTTCACACTACTGTACTTCCAATTAGCGAAAGTGTATTGCTTAGTAACTTTCTAGTGGGGTAGGGTTTTGAAGAGCTTGTGGTTTTTATAGGGGAAGAGATCAGGGGCGGATTTAGGGGGGGGCCGGCCCGGCCCCGGCCCCCCCTTTTGGGAGGTAAAAAAAGAAAAAAGAAAGAAAAAAGAAAGAAAAAGAAAAAAAATGATAGCCCAGAACGCCTCAAATGTTATTTTCGGGCGTCTAGAACACAAAAATTTCGCGGGGGCATGCCCCCAGACCCCCAAGCACATTGTTGTCCCGATCGCCCAAATTTCGGCCCCTCCTTTCGGCCCCCCTTTTGGACATCTCTGGATCCGCCCCTGGATTGCCTCTTCTAACCCCTTTAGATTCCCTGTTTGTTGCTATTATTGCTATTGCTGTGTTCATTGTCGTTGCAGATGTCGCTGCCACTGTCACTGTTGCAGTTGGCCGTTGTTGCTGGTGTTATTATTATTTCAATATTGATAATAATATTTATTTGTTATTGTAGCGTACTTTATGTTTTATTATTAATATTATGTTAGTATTATTATTATTATTATTATTATTTAATGAATAATAATACTGTACCAATAACAATTAAATATTATTAGAGTACATTTAGTACGGCAGCTTACAGCCATATTCGGACTTAGTGTGGACGTTCCGGACAAGGCACCAAATTCTTTTTACATGCTCCTTTGGTAGGTGCCATCTCATCCGTGGTCATTATGGCGGCCATTTTAGATTTCAAAATGGTCGCCTTATAAAACCTATGTTTATCTATTATCTCCGCTTCTAAATCACTTTTATTTATGTATATATATATAAACATCAATAGGTAAATGATAGAAGCAATGCTCGATTATATCTCTTATTGTTATTTGTTTATATATATATATATATATATAGGTTATGTATATAGGGATATACTTTAAAGCATATTAATCTCACTGAAAATTGTACATGCATACATAATTACTATATATATATATATATAATATTTATATATACATATTATACAAACATATAATATATATTATGTACATATATATATGTATATATTTCATATCTAAACCACTTGGAATTATAATTTTAATGTCTGAAACTATTTTTATATGGTCAAGGAATACCATCATACCTGGTCCTGGTATATATATATATATATATATATATATATATGCTCGATTATATCTCTTATTGTTATTTGTTTATATATATATATATAGGTTATGTATATAGGGATATACTTTAAAGCATATTAATCTCACTGAAAATTGTACATACATACATAATTACTATATATATATATATATATAATATTTATATATACATATTATACAAACATATAATATATATTATGTACATATATATATGTATATATTTCATAGCAAAACATTTAAATTCTAAGAGTAAGGATATGATTCTAATGTTCTAATGCAAAACATGACAGTTACGTTATTTTTATAATACTTACAATATTTGACCTTAAATGACGAGGTAAAAAAATGGTAATGGTATTTACATTGAATGACCTTAATTGACCTTAATGACCATGCCACAAGTGTTATAAAATCTTGACCATGAAAATATAATTTTAGATATCATAATTCTCATTGAAGTGGTTTAAAAACCGATATATTGATAAATATAGGATTTGTGTGGTAACAAGTTTGAAATTGAAGATGGCCGTTCAGAATTACCTCGAATGAAACATTGTAGTTCATAGTAATGATTTTGAATTCTAAAAGTTTGGGTATGGTTCTAATGTAAAATATGACAATTATGTAAATTTAAGATACCATAAATTATTTGACCTTGAATGACCTAAACTGACCTATTTGTGGCAATCTGACCAGGTATGATGGTATTCCTTGACCATATAAAAATAGTTTCAGACATTAAAATTATAATTCCAAGTGGTTTAGAAGCGGAGATATAGATAAATATAGGTTTTATAAGGCGGCAACTTTGAAATCCACAATGACCGCCATAATGACCTCGGATGAAATGGCTCATACCAAAAAAATGAATGCTATGACCATAAGGAGCATGTAAACAAAAATTGATGGTTTTGTCCGTAATGTCGACATCCATCTGCTAAGGTGCCGGATTATATAGGCCTTCCAATTTTAAGGCACACAAAATATAAACTGCGATTCACTACAAGAAAATATCGTTGTGGCTAATTATAAGATTTGGAGTTGTTAGATTCATATTCAGATAAAATTCATTCAGATACAATGAATTTAATATATAATGCACAGTGTACATCAAAAAATTCACTATCACTCAATAATTTTTTTTTCTAGTATCACTTACTAGTAATTATAGCAGACGGTCAGGTCAGTTCCGAATGTAAGCAGCAGACAGAGGACGCCATTGTTCGGGCTTCAAAATACCCATTGTCAATAATCATGGTTGGCGTTGGCGATGGACCGTGGGGTACCATGAAGAAATATGACGACCAGTTACCGAAAAGGAAGTTTGACAATTTTCAGTTTGTAGATTTCCACGCTGCTGCCGAAGACGCTGTTGACGAAGAAGAATTCTTAGGTAATTTTGTACTGCAAGCATTGATGGAATTGCCAGATCAGGTTAAGGCGATAAAGCGTCTCGGTTATATATAAATGCTGACTTCGATCACAAGGTGGATTTTAAAAGCGTTAGTTACGATATTATTTGTATAATAACAATACAGTAGTAATGCGTATTATTATGTTTGAATAATATACAGTGTTGCTTTGATGAACATTATAATGACGATTACTGAGACCAAACTTCAGTTACTTTATATAACCACTGCGCTGATTCGACCCATTCTGTATAATGATATCCTACAACAATCTTTCTTTTTGGAAAGCGGTATTACATTATTGATAATGTTGACTATATTGGTTTTTAGTACCACCGATGCGAAGGTGTATGTTCGATTTTTTTTTTAAACGAATGGCGAATGTAGTGAGAACTCGTAACTGGTAAAGAAGAAAATAATTGACCCAACCCATTACAAAAACAAACGACGCACCCTAAATTTGACTAACTTTATTTTGCATTTTTGTCAACGCATATGATCACATAATAGGCTATTAATTTTTAGCTAATTATTATAACGGTTAGGGCCAGAATGTCCGTTTAAATTATGATAAAGATTTAAATGCTAATAATGTTTAGGTATAAGAATATAACGTTAAAATAGTTTAGCATTATTGTAATTAATGCTTCTGTATGTTAGACTGTATTAAATTCATTACCAATTTGTTTGTATTACCGTGGAGTATATATGTCTAAAGTATCATATTAATTCGAAATTACTTTGTATTCATTATTTTAGAGTTGAATGTTGATCATTAAAAACACTCATACATTAAGATCGGTTGTTGTGGTTACGTGATGTCTTTGTCTGCATAGTCCTCGCCAGTCACCCGTACGTTTTGCTGAAGATGTATTGTCCGATGACAAAATAAACAAAATATATGTATTTAATTGACTTACATTTTGAAATATCACAAAACACATCATTCGAAACCATATTATACCATGTAACCGATTAACTATTAAAGATATATTAGCCTGAATTTCATTTAATCTCGGAATATTCTGTAACCACCTTTTGTGTCTGAAATATATTAAAATATAAAATTGAAAGGAAAACGATGAAGAAATACTAAGTTAAAGAAATATATTAAAATATAAAATTGAAAAGAAAACGTTAAGAAATAAACGCATACAAAATGTTACTTTAAGTAATTATATGTTCCCTAATTATCATTGTTTATTTTTCAATACAGTATATACATTTATAACTTTATTTTTTTTTTAATTAAAAGTGGGACGATCCCACGAAAAAGAAAAAACATTTTTTTTTTTAAATTCTTTAATCTGAAATGCTCACAGGCCCGTATTCAGGAGTTCCGCAATCCAATAGGCTGGTGGTACGGTATATTGAGTGAATATAGTCTGGTGTTGCCCAAAAACTACGTTTACAATTAGGCCTATTTTGTCAGACTTGGTATTGAACTTAATGCACTAGAACGTAAAAACGTAAATTTTTCCCCTTTTGCAGTCTCCTAGCCGCAGCCTAGTTGCTCGCTTCACTCACAAATAACGCACCCCGCGAATTCTGAAAGCTTCGCTAAATTGCTCCGAGTTCAGCTTTCCCCCTGTACTTTCGTTTCGACACCCCCCCACCCTTAGAATTTTCACCGTACGCCCCTGTGACTTTAGTTTATTCGACATTGTTTTTACAAGAATTTGCGACTTTCTTAAGAGTACAAAATCCGTAAATCAAAATTTACTTTTATTTTCCAAGGTATCCAGGATCATATAGGACAATACATACATCTTTTACAATGTGTTCGTCCATGCACCGAACATTAATACTCTATATTGATTACCGACATTCAAGCTTGAAATAAGTGTGTCAACCCAAATAAACTAAAAAAAAATCATCTCAAATACAGAATACATTACAATTATAATTATAGTGACTTTAATGCAGCTTTTTAAAAATATTGATGATCATAATTATGAATATAGACAAAAAAATAATTAACCTAAGTTGATGCTTTGTGTATATTAAATAGGCCTATACCTGTCTCTTATACACATCTTATAGGACAATACATACATCTTTTACAATGTGTTCGTCCATGCACCGAACATTACTTCGTAACTTTATATTGTCCTAGTTCAAGATGGGTCTATATCTTTAATCGTTAAATATTCTTTCTCGGTAACTAAACTTCTTTATTCATAAATATGAATCACTACATTTTCTATGTACTTAAATATAAAATATAGAGAAAATCTATGAATTGAGCTCCACTTTAAGCAATTTATTAGGATAAATCGGAAATTAGGGGATAAAAGCATTCACTCGAGGCAACGGATTACCGAGTGAGAAGGTTCATTTACAAAACTTGTATTCCAAGCTTAGCCTACTCTGCCTACCATGACTGGGATTGAGGTGGGAAAATATTATAGGCATGGAAATTCGAAATGACCTTAAATGACTCTCTGAAAACTAATATTTCAAAGAACAATCGGAATTCAATTTTAAATAATAGGCCTAATAGGACGCATCACTTCAGCCCTACACGGGTTGTGACTGAAGTTAGTAAATAATGGAATAGAACCTCTAGGTGTCCGGAAATGCATTGTCGGACCAAAATTGGAAAATACGGTACGGATTCATTTATTTATTTATTCATTTTTTTTTAATAGTTCGGGCGTACAAGTAGAATAACTTTCAATCTCTCACAGCCTAGGCGAGACCGAATAGCCTTTCCAACAATACAATCAAAACAAGCAGACATCAATGAAGTACACAATTAAAAAGGTTTAGAAATATTTGATGGATGCTTGAAACAGAATAAAATTTATGAAACATGTTATGATATTTTTTTTTTTACATCGTGCAGAATCAGAATTAATTATGTTGTTAGGAAGGCAGTGGGCTATTGCGGATGGGAAAATGATGCTTGATATGCACGAATCCTGCATTTTGGGACCACAGGAGGCTTTTATTGATTATTTCGACAATTTCGACGACCTGGTTCAATTAAAATGCCACGAGTTACAAAGTGGATATTATATACGAATCTGAGGAAGTTACAAGTTTGAGTACCAAACGTCTGGATTCAAGGGTCATAATACAGGTCTCTCTCCAATTAAAAACACCTCCAATTAAAGTTCACCTCTAATTAAAGACCACTTTTCTGTGATCCCGTTTGAATTCCTATCTTTTAACATTTAGCTGTTCCCCCAAATTAAAGACTCCCTCTCTTTAGAGACCAGAGACCAAAGGCCATGGTTTTGGCGGTCCAAATGAAAATTTCCCCTCCAATTATAGACCACTACTGTATATAATAAATAGTGATGTTAATGCTATTTTTCTATGATGAATTTTGTTCATATATTTCAAAAAAATATTAATAATCGAAGCTTTAAGGACAATATTTTCGCCTGACTATCAATATAAAAACAATAATGATTTCTCATTTTCAAATTAGAGCTCATATCGGTATTCAAATAAATCAACAGAAACCCAGCAAAAGGAAATATTTTGTTGTGTTGATAATAGAAGTTTAACTTTTTTTTTTTACTGATTCCTCCTAATAGTACGGTAACTTATAATATCGTAAGTCTGTCATTGGATTGGTGGAACACCAGAATTTCTGATCATTACTGGAAAGTTAATACGAATATTTCCAACGTTAAAATCATGTAAGGGGCCTTATTGCAGCCAAAGTTATTGCATGAGAAGTATTTTTCAAATCGATAAAAAATAATTATCAATTCCGTCGTTTTCATCAATTCTACAGGTAGTATACAGGCCGTTGTTTATGTTGCAGCTAAAAACTACAACACGAAAAAAGTCTTTGGATGGATGGATGGATGGATGGAGGGAGGGAGGGATGGGATGGATTGGGATGGGATGGGATGAATGGATGGATGGATAAGGATTTTATTGAAGATGTGGATATATACTCTATATTGATTACCGACATTCAAGCTTGAAATAAGTGTGTCAACCCAACTAAACTAAAAAAAAAATCATCTCAAATACAGAATACATTACAATTATAATTATAGTGACTTTAATGCAGCTTTTTAAAAATATTGATGATCATAATTATGAATATAGACAAAAAAATAATTAACCTAAGATGATGCTTTGTGTATACAGTGTTCTATTAAATAGACTTATACTGATATTATATACTTTAGTACGATGTTGTTCCTAATAGTGTAATTCAGAGTTAAGTATCAGAAGGAGCACTGGTTTATTAATTAATATTCAATAACAGTATACAGTAAATGTAAACCCATTTTTAAGCACTTGGATTAAAACGATCTTACATTTACTATATCATTTATTAATCTAAATATTGATTAACTCTATATAGTGATATTTAAGAAAACTTTTAGTGAAGACTGCACTAAATATTACCATAAAACGTCTCCGCAGAGGCCAAGTATGAAAGTTGGCCTCTGTGGAAAAGTTTTAATAATAATAATAATAAGATTTATTAAGCGCACATCTCCACTAAAGTGCTCAGTAACCTTTAGTGCACTTTTTCCAATTTCGTAGTAGGCATGGTGTTTGGCCTCTGCACAAATGTTTTATGGTAAATTGAGACACAGATACTATACTGCGAATGGTATCTCTGTTTGAGCATAGTCGAAAGTAGTGGACGTATTTAATCGTCTACAATTTAATGAAATTAGCATAGAAGATACTTTTCATAACAAGTTATACATTTTGAATGATTTCTAGATTCATGAGGTTAAGGTTTATTTGATATAAATTCCATTTAGACCAACTAATATGAAGTTTTGAAAGGCCCTTGGGGTTGGTCTACCGCAC